CGAAATAAGAATTTGCGACATGTTTATATTTGTAAATATCAACAGATGTTTTAGAATAGCAAATTATACTGCGAAAAAGAATATAAAATTTATTCTAGTTTCGCTGGAACATTTATATTGCAGAATAAACAAAATGTGTTTCTATTTATAATTTTATAATGAAACTAAAATATATCTAATATGAAATCAAATTGCTCTTCACCTCATAACAGCTTCACTGGTTTTGGGTCAAGCCACACTTTAAGGAGCACAAGGTAAAAGATGGTGCATTGAAAATGGCCTTAAGCCCAATAGCGATCTGCGTGTTGCTTGCTTCCTATTGGCGTCGAGGCGACAATGCCAGTACAGCGTCGGCTGTTACGAAGGTGAAACCACAAAGGTCGATCACCACTCAATCGCTAACCCGGACGGAGCTTATTCATTTCAACGATTTATAATAATTACACACATATAATGTCCCATAGGAGTAAGAAATTATTCAAATAACAAAGTCACATATTACGCTTGCTAATACAAAGCAGCCAATGAAATACTGAAAAATATTTAATGAGGTTATCTTGATGTCTACATGGATAAAAACCATCATAATTCATTTCTTCTATCAATATCTTTATTGAATTTCTTGTATCCTACATTGAAGACGCTCATACATCTAAATTAATAAAGTTCAGCTTTAGGAAACGTAAAATTACATGTCCAAACTTTTTCCAACTACCTCAAATGTAATTCGAATAGTCACATTTCCAAGCTTAGCTATAGGAAACGTTCTCCCTTTGTCCAATTTTACTATAAATGCGGGCTGCATTTAACGCACTCCCTTTTCCATTCGATTTCCAAGCAGTATGCAAAGAATAATTTAAAACAATTAATTACATTTATGACATTTGGTTTAGTAGTTCACCGTTCCAAAATAAATAAACCCTTGAAAGTTACTGTTCAACATGAATGGATCGACCTCTAACGAACGTAGACAACTTTTCTTTAACATCCAAGGGTAGGGACCGCGGGCCCCTTCTAAAACACGTAAAGCTTACCCATAGACTGCGGAAGTTAATAAATACTTTGCCATAGAATAGAATGATTATTATTGCTAGCAAAGTAGCCAATTATTAAATTATAAATAAGGTATTATCATGTTTGCATTTCAGTATATTTCAAATGACATCACAATACTGAAAAAAAAAGAAAGTAACTCTTAGACAGCTGAGGTAAAACACAAATACCCAAGTTTACGGGTCAATTGTCGCAAAGGCTGGCTACCGTTGGGGGAGGCAGAGGGGTTCGAAGGGCGAAGGGCTCGCGCGGGGAGGACCATGACACAGATCCAAACTCATCAGCGAACGCTGTGAGGCCTCCAGATTCGGCTTTTATAGTATAATCATCGATTTCTCCATCATACAGTATTACGCACAAAATGGGTCAATGTGTTTTGTCTCTCCAACTAGGTATATTGCCAGATTCATTATACCGATTTTAAGGGATTCAAGATTTCAAATTAACTATACATTAATTCATTAATTGGAATTTATATGGTCTTATAGTTCGTTGATAAGGGGAAAGCATTCATTAAACTTTACTTTTAAATTTGCTAATAACGATACTGGTTTATTTTAAAATGTTATTTTTATGAATATACATCAAAATATTATGAGTGATAAATTAAAATTAGCTTTATCTGGCTAATTTATCGATAAAAATATTTTGTATCAGCATATCGAACGTCCTAATCAAATATGAATAGGCATGTGCTCACAGGCCCTTAAAAATTGGAACATCCCACGGAAAGCAGGACATCTGGCAACACTACTCAGAGCTGTTTGATTACGCTCGATGTCCCCGTTCCGAATTGCTCCCTCGGCAAATTAACGTCAGTGCTGTCGTGCTCCAAATCGTCCACGAATACAATTTTAAATCCAAACAATTATAATGGCTTTAACCTCTATGGGTTATAACTTCAAGTTGTACACTTTCAGCTACAACACAATGGCTTCGGTTTAACGTACCAACAACATTGCAAAATTCTTAATTTCATGTGAAAGTAGGAACCGACATCAAAGCCAGAAACATTGGGAAAACGTATGAAAGAATCATGAAACCATTGTAATGAGAGTAAGTGTTCGTTAATTTAAAGTTAATACACTTCTAACATTAAACCATAATTACTTTATTTTCAATTCAGTTTCAGCTACTTTTCAAGAATTTATGTTATTGAAGAAAAATAATATATACAAATAGGTTATTGCAAAGAGTCAATTGCAACGACGTAACAAAATGTAAAATTGACTTGAATTTCAGTCATGAATGATGAAAAAAAGAGAAGCCTTTACATTATGCTGTTAGAATGAGTTGTTACCATCGATGAAAAGAAAAGCGAGGCGTTTAGAGCTAGTGCTGGTGAAACTATAAACAAGATCATCGCACAAAAGAGAACGCACCACGAAACACGCCGAAGATACAACGCACTTTCCATCGACAGACGCGTTATTTAAATCATGATGTTTCACTAAAGAAATTATGTGTGAAACTATTACCTCAATTCTTAAAAGAGATTATCTGTACAATGTATATTCAAATTATAGAAAAAGTCAGCACATATATTTTTCATTTGAAGACAAACGTTAAAGGAGTAACAAACGTATTACGTAGGTATTGTAGCCGAACGAATTTCTCAAACAAATATAAGCTGTGTTTTTAAATAGCCTTGGCCTTGTGAAACGTATACAAGCGATAATAAAACTCAGTTGGAAACACATAATTACAGCAAAGTTTAAATGATGAGCGTAGTTACGTAAAAGTTGTATTAGGCAAGTATTTTTATTAATTTAATTAATGTGCAGAAAACAAAACGAGACATTTAAATTAATGTTACAAATTTGATCATTTCAACGGATTTGAGTACATTCTATTAATTCAGGGTAACACCGTTTTATTTCGCATAACGGACAGTTCTGTTTAAACTGGCGTTATCGTAACCAAAATACGACTGTGGGCCGCCAAAACCCACTTTAGTTATCGCATTCCACTGTCAGCAAAACAGGAGCACTGAGCGGACCACAATCTCTTGGTTTATAGCGCACAAGCTCTCGGCTAAATTGATACATTCTTGCGAAATAACCTCGCTCAACTTATTTGAAACGATATCGATACATAATAGAGAGGTCTGACACGATTTACAACAACGTGATGTGTTGGATTGTCTTTAATGACGAATAACATGTGATGAATCCGAATCCCATAAGACATTAATAGAAAAATTATACATTAATGTTAGTAATTCGCTTTAGGCAATGTTTTTGTGTGACTGTACTACTTCTAAAGCTACTTATTGTAGTTTCTCAGCCACTAAAAGCACATCAAATCTAAAATAACGCATACATGGCTCCAAACTACTTGCTTTGTCTTAGTGCACAGTTTACTGTATCATATAAACAATTAAGTGCATAAGTCACCTAAAGATCTAAGAATAGAGACAAGAGGTAAGGCGAGAAAATTATAAAAGAATTTCATGAATTTTTCGCGCGTAATAATAATGTAACCTATGTATGTGAATAAATATTGAAAAAGACGGTGCCTCCTTCTCAGTGATTGCAGCACGCCTGCTCTTCCATGCATTTACGGCGAAGTTCATCGACCCCGACAAGGCGTATCTCCGCAAATCCTTATTTCTACCCACATCGATACATATAACTAAGTAGAGTTTAGACGTCGCATACTTTGGGGGAGAAACGAAGACGACTACCTGAGGAACAAACGCAACTTCGTAGGTGGATATATATTTAAGATATATTATATGTATACAAGAACTGTTATTATACTCGTAAATTCTGCAGAAAACTCTCTGGATTGCACTCCTACACGAATTAAAGGTCAACTTGTATGTTTATCAATAGTCGAAATATATATTAGTTTATTTCAGATAGAATCATCCATATATTGGGTTAGTAACAACGCACAGTATCAATTTGGAACTAACAATCGATTATTTTTTAACTGAAAATAATTATGTCTACTATCTCACTATTGTATCAAGTTAAAAACTCCGCGTAGATATTAAACAGGAACGTGAAAGCGAGAACTTATAAGAAACTTTTAAAAGGAGGAACGAAAAAATGCTATTGGAAGACCGTGAACGCTTTCCGGTTCATCGTTTACTACCTGCTTAGGGTGAATCGGGTCCTTCGTGTAATGGCGTTGCGATTGTATTATTTCAATCTTATCAACTTCTGACAAATTTAGGATTTAATGTCAACAATAACATTAAAATGACGCTACAATCTTTGCTCATGATTCATATAGTAATAATGTGAAGAATTACAATCTCACTTAGACTGTTTTCCAAATCATTATAATTAAAACTAACTTAAAACAAAATAACCGTAATTAAAGGTCATTAAATTAATAGAGTCGTTTAAAAATACACTATCATCATTGCTGCATGAATGATTTTGACTAACAAAATAGAGACCAACAGGGGATTTAGTATTACATAGGGTTACTATTAACGACGAGGGGTGCGAAGGAATAAACAGAGCTGATTTTCTGAACTGACATTCGTAAACATTTTAGGGTATACAGCGTTATGTTAATATGCTAATATTAAAATCAAATTAATATTACTTAGTTGTACTTCATTACTTAGTAATAATGGTTGTAGTAAAAGTGGCTCGATTTCTAAATTGCTCCCTCTACTTACTGTCTTTCATTTAGCATTTAGCTTACACAACAAGGAAAGTTAAAACGCGCGTGTAGAGCAAAGCAACTTTCGCCTATTGTAGCGATAACACATGAACAAAATCAAAATATAATCGTCAATAAAACAACATTGATATATAAATATGATGATAAATAACAATGTTGACGTCCTTGTTATGTCTAACTAATTCCGTACCTATGTCGAGAGATCTCTAAATGAAATAATGACCCAACCGACGGAAAGTCCTTCGATGATTATGATAAAATAAACTAGTTCCGTGTTGACTCCAACAACCAAAATAGCTCACCTGGCTAAGGCCATTATTCGTTCGTATAATCCAATTTTCCAAAACAGTGGCACCACTTCGAACACACTACCGAACACAAGTCAATGGTTAAAAAATTAGTGTCCACTGATACTGAACATCGGTGTATACGAGAGTGTTTCACGTTTGACAGTTTCACTTCACCACATGGCTGTCGGTTTGCGAGCGTTGCCGTTACGGACGTACGCGACGCTCGGCGTTTGACGGGCGACTGAAATGGTGAAGTGGCATAGCTGTGTAATACGATTGGGGGGTCGCGGTGAGTTGCAGACACACAGCGAGCGGAGAGCGGCTGGAGGCGAGGGGTCAGCGAGGGCGGAGCGCCCGACAGCCGGCACCCACAGGACAGCTGCGCACCACGGACCCTTTCTCCGCTCTACCTTTGTTATGATGGAGAAAGCTTGATCATGTTTACATAGTCTCGACTGTTTATGATCCCATTATCATAAATATAAATATGAAGATTACGTAACCCGTTGAGATGTGCAAGAAACGTGACAATTTTATTAGGTCAAACAATTATTTTGATGATGAAATGCCGGATGATCCAAGCGATATTTTTGGCGATATTTAGAATCAGCAAATTTTTCTTTAGCCTTTGAGCAAGGATTCAAATTATTGTGATTACATTTTTATGGCGTTTGACTTGGAAAAGTTGAAGGTCGTCGTCGGTTAGGCTATTTTTTCAACATTAAAACTGAAAATAACAACATAGCAGAAAGAATAGATTTTTATGGTAAATTTGAATCTAGGGAACTTCCATATTTGTTTAATAAAATTATTTTCAGTAGAAACTTCTCCGAATACTCTGAAATAATTGCAATGGTAGTACGAAAAGTCAAGGATGGTTATGGTTTTGTTGTTAATAGTGTAGTAACTGCTGTTTTATAGTGACCAAAATATCGTTCATCTGAACAATAAAGTGATTTACGGAATGTAAACACGAGGTGCTGACTTTATGTTGAAGAAAAGTATTTATGTAAGTGAATAAATTTTAATATAACAAAAGCCGAATACTGGTTACTTCAAGACTACATACAATGCAACCTAAAATATTACAAGTGGAACTTGGTTCAGTGCACGAAAGGGAGAAGTTGTTGCCCCCGCGGATCCTTGAGCCACCCTGCCCGCCAAAGCTCTTTCATATATTGAAGCAAGGCACCTCAATTATGAACCTTATAGTATGAGAATTAAGGTAGCTAACAAATCTAAAGCAGTTTTGGTAAACCATAATTTCTAATAAAATGATAAGGATGGTTACGATAACGATACTGTACTAATAATTAATAACAAAAATGGCATTGTATTTTGTTTTTAATATAACGCTAGATGCATATAAATAAATTTAGTGGTATGATACCAACTCTGTTGTACCATTCCCTAAATAAAAACTTATTTCAATTTGGGTTTGTTTTTACGTTATTCCGATATCTATAGCCACATGTAATCAAATAAATGTACATATGATTATACTTCTATAAACTTTATATATGACAAGTTTTTTTCATCACTTACACAGACTTTGAATGCAGTTTAACAAATTTAAAACTAAATTGAGTCCAGTTTAAGCAACAGAATAACTACTTTATATGAGAGCTTACTCTGAAAAAGTAATAAAAATGCGTGTTGCCTGCAACAAAATATAAAAACAAAATCGAGGATATCTCAAAGTCATCCCAGTCATATCCTTCAATGACGTCTTCGCTGGTTGACCTTGGTTTCGGGCTTCAGGGTTAACTACAACCCTGAAAATGCCATTCCGCCTCGATTGTTCAACCTACTTTGCCTAATGGTTAAAACTTTTGTTTGCCAATCTCCCATTTTACTGTGGAGTTTGTGATTGTTTGAAATGACAAGTTCTTTATTTCCAATATTTCCAGTGACATATCGTTGAGCGATAAATAGGGTGATCACTTTGTGGCACGACACGATGCAGTTGAGTTTTTACCGTGCACACTATTTCAATAACGAAAGATATTAATTTTTTTTTACACAAAGAAAATGATTCATCATAGCCAAATGGATTTAGGCACGTTTTGTGAATCGTCCGGTCTGCGCGTTATTCAAACGGAATAGTCATCTTTATTTCGACGGACGGACGTGTCTTTTCAAAGTTTTTAGTCATCCTATTCCGGTGATTAATCAACGCGTTAATGTTTAATATAATGCCGAATAATCATAATTTCATTACAGTAACATCATAATACTGATTTCGTTATAAAATTTAACGATAAACTAATATAGCACCATTATGTTCTCATTAAGAAAATAACTAATTCGAGTTATTGTCACTGTAGTGATAATTGCACATTATATTGAATTAGTATTAATGGACGACGAGAATCATTATGAACAGATCATTCAACATATAAATCACATTGAAGTTTTGAGCAACCTTGTTGGTTTTGGGTGCGGTCTGTGCCATCAACAGCGAGGGCAAGCTGCGCTATGACCTGGATCCTTGCATCAAGGTCACCGGGCCACATCGTAATCCCTCACGCGGTACACCCCGTGTACCACCCTAACATACTTCAATATTTCCCAGTAATCAGCTTTAAACAGGTGCGGCGGACTCATTATGTTCCTATTTAAACACTAATAGGTCGTTTCTTTATTGTCACAAATTCTGCCGACATGGATAAAAGTTAAATGCCCAACTCCTTTGTCTAATACAATAAAGGGTTTCTAACTTTCATTATAATATGTAACGAATATTGTTGTTGCTTTTGGTTCCAGAAATTTTCACGAATCTCAATATTGTAAAGATTATATTAACCTTTGATACATAGCTACATTCTTATTACTTTATTTAAATTGGGAATGGAAAATGTTCACAAAGTCTTATTGCGTCCCACACACGATAAATTTATTAAACATATAATAATAGTAATGTGCGTTAAATAACATTCTAGTATTTTGAATTCTCTCATTATATTTGAGGTAGCGCATCGAATCGGATTGCACATGTATTTATTTTTTTTAGAAATGGCAACAACTGCTCGCTCGCACTTTCCTCGATTAACTTTCTCATTTACAATGCGAGTTGACCTTTCCTTTCCATGACGCTCACTTCGAGTAGGGTCAATTGACAATTGAAATTCACATTATACTGAAACTTAATTTTAATCAACAAACTTAACATGCAAAATAGGCTTTAAAATTGTAAGGAACATTTATTTATTACGTAAGACGATTTAGAGAGGGAGGAAAGACTAATTTGTTTCTTGGTGGAGGAAGAAGGAAGGAAGAGGATAATAGTTCTTACGTAAGATCACAAAGTTACTACTGCAACTGTAAAGTTAAGATTGTACATGCTTTGAAAAAGCGCACGCAGCATGAGTGCGATATAATACGGCAAGGGGTTAAGTATGAAAATTTGTAAAAAAAAGTATGTATCGGAAATTAACTCTTTTTATTTATTATATTTTTAATGTTTTATATACTTTTTATTTAATCAAAATAGTAAAAGTTAAATGCCCTCATTATTGTATGTGTAAACATATGAGCGTGTGTAACCCTCATTATTTAAACATTTTTATCATCTAAACAGAAGCTCAGTCATGCCTTTGCGCTAGAACTCTGGGGATCTGGGGATCGACATACTGCGTGAAAGCATTTTGATCTGCCTCCTGGGAAGAAATTTTTTTGCTACGTGGAAAATTGTCCAAAATACGAAAAAAATTGAGCAATGAATGGTACAGGAAACATCTGTTGTTATTGTTTGACCAGACCCGAGAAAACTAGTGAATATCGCCATGAAGAGACCATTAAACTAGTGATGAGACTCAAGCCCTTTTTTTACTCGAGTCACTCGAAAGAATTTATTAAACTCGTGCTCGAGTGGAAAAAAATATCACTCAAGTCTCTACACACTCGAGTTATCGAGTCAACTTAGCACATCATGAATTCTAGACAACGTTTAGACCAAACGAATGCTAAGGTAGGGATGCCCGATTATGGATAAAACGATGATACGGTACACAACTCTTTATCCACGCGAGCAAAGCCACGGATCACAACTTGTTTATATACGTCTATCGCTCTCTCTTTATGTTGGAGTAACAGAAAACTATACAATATATATTATTGTATTCGAATTACGTCAGATATGAAGATCATGATGGACGACTATAGTCTTTAAAAATTTTTTAATGACAATTTTAATAATATTGTATGGACTCTGAAACTTGAAAGGTTTGATTTAAAATAAAATGGGTGTTTCGCATTTTAAAAACTTAACTCTTAACTTAAGATTAAAACACCACTAAGCTGACAACAATAGTGCTACAACAAACAATATTAATGGCCACTTATCGTTTTCACGCGAAGTTATTTTATAATTAGGACTTGACTTATAATATGTTGTTTTTAATTTTTACGGTCATTAACATTAAAATCATAGTAATTTACGTGTTATTCATAACACTATTGATTTGTAATACGAGTATATTAGTTATGTATCTTATTTTTACCAGGTATTCGAACCTAAAAGGGTTCTAATTAAAACCGCGGTAGCCTTATATCGAGAATATTTAATTTATTTTATCACTATAGCATTAATATCCAAGAATGCAGAAAAATAATGTCAGGCTCATAGCATTCAGAAAGTTTTTAATATGGACCTTCTAAAAATATCTTACTATTAATTTTAGTATAGCATTGTGATCACAAAATTTATCTTATTTTAATTAATTTATAAAATTTAATTTATAAATTAATATATAGAACAAGTTTTCATCTTTATCGAAAGTTTATACATTTGTAAAAATATTTCTTTCGGCTGTTTGGGTCAATTGCCTGAACCTTGATTAAAATACGGTTTGTAATAGTGAAAAATTAACAAGTGCTTGAAAAATTCGTCAGTCCTGTTAGATCCTGGGTACCTCAGTGGTTAGAGTAGTCGCCCGGATTGCGATAGGTCATGGGTTCGAGCCCCATCTCAGAGTGCCAGGGACAAAGTGGTTTTTTGACAAAGTGCCAGGGCAAAATTGATCAAATATAATAATATCTTACTCCTGCGGCGAAAGTTTTTAAATACTTATTGTAATTTTTCGGTGAAGATATACATACTAAAAGATAAATAATTGTAAATTTATGATACATAAATTTTATTATAGTATGGTTTCTTTACTTTACAATTATTGCAACTATGAAGTAGATATTATAGGATCTTTTAGCTATCTGTATAGTGTTTTTACAGCATTTACCAACTTCTAACGAGAATGAGTTTACCCAACGAAATATTATACCGAGAAACTTCAATAACAATGAAATTAATCTCTTTACCTTATTCGTAGTTATGAAAAAAAAAAAAAGAAACTATCTGTTATATGCACGCACTAACTTCTAACAATAAATATAATACGAAACGCAGTTA